CGTTCACCAGCAGACAAGTAATCAAAGGTAATTTGTGAATGTACATGTACGAACGAGTCTTGAAATAATTACGTTTTATAAAAGTGAAAACTATGTGATCACCAAAATAATAAATGGACAATTCAATAATTAGGGGCACTATCATTTTTGACAGGTTGCATTGTGTGTGTTACTGCGAATAAACTCTCTGTAATGAGACATAATGCATGTTTTCATCTTGCTATGGATATGTGTATCATTCTAACCAATATCAGGAGACGACTGAAACCTTCCTGAACTGAACATTTAAAAAGATAATTGTTCTGTTTATTGTGCTGTTCAGTTCACTCCGTAGTATGGATGTACTTGTTTGTGGAAAAGAAGAAGGAAAATATTATTTGATTTAAAGAGCTTCTATCGGTTATTTGCATCCATCTTTCCAATCAAAACTCTTGCGCAATCAACTTCTTGTTCTGATTAGTGTAAAGCCTAATTTGCATCAGCCAATAAACTACCACAAAATTTCTGCAGTGATATTAGGTAAATGGTCGAGTGCTCACATCACTTTCTTTTTTATTACCTTTTATGAAAGACTAGGTAATAAAATAATTAGTGTTTTAATATCAAAGCTACTTACATCAATTCCGCTGGAAAATATTTGTCTTTATTTTTGAACATATTGGTTGTTTAATTAATTAGGAATCCTACTTAAATTAAAATGAAAGAATATTTAATTGGAACTTACAGTGAAAAATGTTGATGTTAGAAGCCATACCATAAAGTATTTGGATCTTTCATAGACAGGTTGAATACTGGTGGTTTGTTTATTTTTTGAACATAACCGTTTTAGGTTAGTATTCTTCTTGAGATATCTTACATGTAAGCAACAAAACTCAACACTGTACTGTACTGTACAGGTAAGATATTGTTAACGAAGAGAAAAAGACTCTCTATGTTGTCAAAAAAAAACAACATATAAGAATATTAGTACAGTATTTGGAAAACATGACTGGCACACACTCACACACATACCACACCCAGAATATGATAATTAGATTAATATAATATTTCTTTGATTTTGCTTAATAAGTTCCATATTTATTGGTTGTAACCTTACCTATTGTTGTAGGTTAAAAACATATACTGATTATATGTGTTGCTTTATAAACTACAATGTATGTAGTAAGATTTAAAGAATGGATGATGTGATGACATGAATTCAATTGTCAAAGACTGTTGTTTTTGAAAACATATTAAGATTATGTTTGGTGCTGTGTTCACTCAAAGCACAATAAACCAAAATTTAAGTTTATTGTAAGGTGGATCATTTTTTTATTGTGGTCATATCTTTGTTTTTCATGTAAGCCCTTATACATGTACTACTACTATGGTATCCTGATATTTAAAAATAATTTTGCCATCAAATTTGTTGATTTCATAAAAAACATAAATAAAGATGTAAACATGAATTTTTTGAATTTATGTCTAATCAGATTAACTCAATAAATCTTTCAAAGCATATTGACATATATATCTAGGTGATGAATTCTCTGCAATATGTTACCATGGTATTAAAACATGGCTGTGTTAGTGTCCCTTTCAATGCTTTTAAAATGTTGTAAAATTTATGGAGACATTTTAAAACTCAATTACACTGAGAACGCATATAGTAGAGACCCATCATCCATCTTTACTACTTTATCTAGCAATATATCAACACAATATATCCGCTGTCGACTTTGTCGAGCGGAGCTTATCATATGAATGATTGTCCGTCGTCCGTCTCCGTCGTCGTCCGTGTCAATGTTTTACTTTTTCGACTTCTTCTTGAAAACTACAAGCCTGAATGA